AGTCACTTATTCACCTTAAAATAATCACGTTTACACCAACACTTATAATCATGTTCCTAGGCCCCTCACCAGAACCCACCTGCGTCCAACAACTATCCTAAATGTTACACCCCTTTACGCCTAGACACTTGGGGTCGTAACATACAGCAATAATACACAGCCTGAAAGTGAGACAAACACATGGATGGATTGAAACATAAGATATACAGTATCAGAGAGGTTATAATTGAAAGAAGGCCATTTGACCCCTCTGCCTTATTTGTTTGCTAACATCCGGTCTATACATTTCTTGAAAAAAGCAGGAGCAACAACCTCACTGACAAAGCAGTCCCTATCAATCAATCCCAGTCTCAGTGTGCTAGCAATATAATCCAGACCTTTCCTGGTACTCAAATGGAACATTGAACATATCAACATTAAATGTCATCTGCCTGGTGTCAGCAAAACCTTGTTTTTTTCTTGTTTTCTTTGTTAATCCACCTATTTTGGTCTCTGTGAACTAGTTTATGGACTATACTACAATGTAGATCAATGACATCCTGTATATTAATTGCAGCAGTGGTCTTAATACAGATCCCTGTGGTAATCCACTAATTAAATCACCCCAGTCTGGGCTTTCAATCCTTATTTGTATTTGTACTCTGCTTTCCATTAACCAGTTTTCAGTTCAAAAACTTAAAATACCTTAAATGCCTATTTCCTGCAATTTAAGAATTAATATTACGAGGAACTTTCTGACAATTAATAACATCAAAATCACTGTAAAAAATGTTGCATTTTAAATGTTTTATGTTTAAACTGCACCAATATTTGTTCAGCTAATAACATGAAATCAGTATTGTCTTTTGATTATAAAAAGAATCAGGGATTTTTACCTCTACTTTATAATTCCTAAAGAGTCTTTCTATTGTTACTATAATAGTTTAAAAGAGTAAGGTCTTCCAGTCACAGTAGCTGTGGGTCTTTACTCAATTTACCAAAACTTTAGAGTGACTTTAGAAGCAAAATTCTTAGTTGATGGACTGCAGGAGACACTTGATCGGCGTACTGAAGTATTCCTTTGCTCTTATCTCTTGTTGAATGGGCTTAGAAAATATGTACTAAAATTAATCGTGAGATTCCTGAACATGTCATGATTGCAGCAAACCTGTGTTTGACAAGCCTTTTTTTCTGATCTTTTGAGTAACATTGATGAAAGCCTTTCCACAGCTCAGTTCATCTATTCAGTCAGTTGCTTTCTCTTTTGGCTTCATTGATCTAGGATTATGGTATCAGTGTAAATAGAAAAAAAGAAGATCGCAAATCAATACAATCCTGTTACTAAAGTTGCCAATACAGCAGCCTGAGGCTGTGGGTTCTACTTGGTTTGTTTTTGACCTGTGATCTCCAAAGAGAAAATTATTCTGCTGTATTTTTATTTCTCTTTCTAAGGATACAAAGCACTGGGAAGATAGCATAGTATCTGTTCTTCAGAAATGCATTGTTTTTAACACATGTAATGAAAATTGCTTAATTGGATGAAGTAACTCGTTTATTACACACACATTGATATAAATCAAATTGAATATTTATGGTGTTGATAGCTTTAAATAACATTTAGATTTTTTATTCCTTTCCCATAGTTCTATGAGATTGGCTCTAAGACATCTTATTCATTTTCTAAAATAGCTAATTTAAGATCCTGGATGTTTTCTTTTCACTGTTTTTTTCATGACATTTCTCTAATTGCCATGTAAAATCACCCAGTCTCACCAAAGCACAAATTATCATGTGCACAGTTTATTAATTCACAATCTTTAGCATTCAATAGCAACAGCCACATTTATGGTGAAAAACATACCAAAATATACAAAGTGTAGTTATATTGTGAAACTATTTATTCGATTTTATTAGATGTTTTTTCATTTTATGTAAAAAATTGAATTTGTCCAATCATAATAATTTTGCCTTTGTTTTACCACTGAATGATTTTAAACCTCATACTCATCAAATTGGAAAATTCACTAATAAAACCTTCTTTCTAAAATTGTGAACAGTTTTGGGCACTACATTTTAAAGAAGTAACTGCTACTCTGGAATCAGTCTAGAGAAGAGAATGCAGATAATCCAGGGCATTAAAAGAATGTCCTACACTGATAAGCTAAAAGGAATTAACCTTTTTGGTCAGAGAAGACTACAATGGATCCTGATCCAAGTCTTAAAAATCTTCAATGGCACTGGTAAAATCAACTCAGAAGTGGAAAGTACTGTACATGGAAGCGCATTTAAAACTGATAACAGGCACTTCTTTACACTAAGGGTGGTAAGAGTATTGAAAGCTGCTCATTAATAAAGCTGATACCCTCCCTGGCTTCTTTAAAGAAATGAAATAAGAGTTTGATGAGATCCTTTGATCAATTAGCTACTAATAACCAAATGGTATAGAGAGGCTGAACCATTCTTATGTTCTTAGTACTATATACATGCAGTATATGTCATTGTAAACGAGAGTTCAACACAATATTATTATAAACTAGTTCAAGTAGGGAGCTGCGTCAGCATGTGTAGGCTGCAAAGGAACAGGTAACGGGTTTATTCCATGCTGAAAAGAAATAAAAGGAAACACAACGTTTTGGCTGTGGACCCATCTTCAGTTGTGAGCAGGTGTGTGCATTATAAACTATATGTCTGTCCTGACATTTATAGAAGGTCAGAATATTTTGTTTCTCCTTTTAAAAAGTGCAAAACTAAATCTTCTGTATTGTACTCTGCTTACACTTGCAATTATGATTAGAAAAGTGTTGGCTATGTCTTTTTGGGAATTATCCTAATGCAAGTGAGCCTCTTAAGGCACTAACCATATGCACTAACAAAGTATGTCATCACCCTCACACATCAGCACATCAGCAAAAGTTTAAAGAAAAATAAATGTATTATCCATCAATAAATAACTATAAGTTACTGTATAAATAAAGACGCACAGCAAGGAAGAATCAAAAGGGGCTTCAGCAGAGAATTCTTAATTACAGGATTGAATGTTTGCTTATGTTGGCACATCAGTTCTTTGGTTAACATAATGTTCTTTTCCTTTTTAAGGATTTTGTGAGATGGTCCTTTTATTGTAAGCTTTGAAAAATAATCTGTGTTGCTTTACAGCGACAACTTTTTTTTCAGCATAGTACCAAGCCATGGAGCATAGAACAGAAATGCAGTTAAGAATGCTTTAAAGAAGAGCTTGGAAGAAAGCTGGAGAAGACGTGTTTAAATGAGAGTTCAAATGATACTTTGAAGTATTGAATATATTGCATTTTTTTTTACTTTTTTTTGCAAACAGGCCTTTTTATTTTGTTGGTTTTTATAGGCTCATAGTCAATTAGTTGCCACACAGATGAAACACTAAGAAATGTATTCTAGTCTTTATTAACATTAGTCCTTTGCATTTATAACCCAGTGGATCACCCAATAAATGATAAAATGAAAGTTTTACTAAAACAACAGTTTCTATGAAAACAATAAATTGCTGTAACAATGATGCTGCTTCTCTAATGCAGTTGGTAGTATCTCAATAAGCTAAAGTATTTTGCTTCTTGTTTCAATTGCTTTATAATATTTTGTTTCACAATTGCTACTGATTCGCTAGTTCCCCTCAGTTTGATGACATTGTTTTCTTGCCATGGAATTTTAAACACTAAATACTGTCTGTTGTTGCCTTGTCTCCTCAAAGTAAAGATACCTTTACAGTGCATTAAAAATGAATTAGACAACAATGTCTTTGGCCTGAATCCCAAGATACACTAAAGTTAGAAACTGTTGACTTCAGACCCGCCCAGACTGACAGTAGACAGTACTGGCCCTGGGGGGACACACAACTGTGTTAGCCCAGCAGGATATACAGTAAGAGTGTAATCAGCATTCTTTTGCCCTGTACTAGCCTTGATTTTATCCACATATTTTCGATAATTAAATTAACCTTTTAAAATTATTTGTAGGAATTGAGTACTTAGCTATTATAAACTGCTTTTAACATCTTTGTCTAGGCGCTGTAATGCCTAAAATACTGTTTTTTTTTTCACATAAGACTGAATGTAAACTAACGCTTATTATTTTGAAGATGCACTCATGATGGCATGAATCCAGAATCTATCTCTGATCCTGCCCCCAGCAAGGCCTGTCACACCTTCCTAGTTGCCAGAGTATTTAGCCACAATATAGACACATTGTGACACATTATATGTGCCAAAAATGCATATATAATACATATATAATGTATACAGTATATATATTATATATTAACTGGAATGGTTAGTCTGGATATTGCTACATGCCATAAATATACATTTATTGTACACAGCCATAACAGATGCATTGAAAGGGTATAAAAGAATAGCTATGCATGTGAAGAGTAATCAAGGAAGGTTTCAAGCTTTTTATCAATGGTTGACTGAAATAGATACTAGGTGTGGATAACTAAAGATGTATTTCTATTTTTGACTGATCCCCTAGAGAGACCATAAATGTGCATTTTAAAAATCATAAGGGAAGTTAATACTACTTATTTCTAGCTTGCACCTAAACAAGCACCTAAACAAACTCAGGCTATTAATATAGAAAAAATGCATACTTTTTCATACAACACAAGATGCACAAAATGTCAGATTGTAAGAGCTATAAGTTTTTGTATGATTTTAAATCAGTGTACAGTATACATGATGGTCATATAAAATCTAAAACAATTGGATATGAGTAGACAGTACCTTCAGCATGGAAGGAATTATTTTCCTTTGTTCAGAAGTAATGAGAGAAACAGTCTTCATAAGGTTGGTCTGTAGCATTTCCAATATATTTTCAGAAAAAAAATCCAAATATTTTTTTCAATGTTATTTCACATCTTGGGATTGACAGCTCGTTTGACTTAATAACTGGTGCTGTAGTACTGAGCAGTGAGAGTGACAGATACGGGGGATGCAGGCGTTGAACAGAGCTGGTGTGTCTGATCCTGAGCTGCTTCTCTCTGTCCATAGCCTTCCTGGGTCAACAGCAAGGACGGCTGAGCCGGGCCACTCCAGCGGCGCCTCTGGCAGCTCCAGCGAGTCGGAGAGCAGTTCTGAGTCGGACTCAGACAGTGAGAGCAGCTCTAGTGACAGTGAGTGTAATGAGGGATCCCGGAGTGCCACCCCTGAGGTACTGTTCAATGCTCAATAACCTGTGGAAGAAAAGAGAATTACCTCTATACAGTGAAATACACTTTGTACAATATCTAAAAAAACAGCTTTACACCCAGTGATCATGCCTTCTAGTGAGGTGTAATTTAAATGTGGTCAAGTAGGAAACTTGTCATTTAGATTAAATTCTCATATATTTTCAAATTTTAGTAACCTTTTTTGTGTTACAGTACAGCTCCAGAATGGCAGCTTCTGCCCTTAAAAAAGAAATTGATAAACCCCAGACTCTGAATCATTAATATTTTTCAACAGCTGAGAAAAGACAGACACTACCTTTCCTGACAAGCTCTAAGCATACAATGCTTGAGATACAGAAATACGGTCTAACGAATTCTACTGAAAGTTTAATTGGCTGCTTTAAAGCTGCCCAATAGTAAAGTGCTTATGGCACTTTCAAGTTGAGTAAACATATTTTCTATTGTGGTATTCTTCCCCATGAGGGGGCTGCACAGCAAGATGTCAGAGTAGGTCAGCCAATGAGATTTGTTTTCTGCAGGACAAAGAACATTTTGTGGGCTGGGATGCACATTTCATTTTATTCTATAAACAGTGTTTATAGTGCAATCTAGTGTTTAAACAGGATCTAAAGGCTAATGCCTCTGCATGCTCTTTTGATTCTTTACTGTTCTACTGTACTGTAGGTACTTTCAAATTAGAATTAAATGTGTTAAGTATAGAAAAAAATATATGTACTGCTAAAATACTCTACGCTTTTTTAAATGAAAGAATGGAAGACAACATTTGCTTGCATTACGTTATGTTAACTGTGCTTTAGGTTGCAAAGGAACAAGTAATAGGTTTATTCCATGCTGAAAAAAAAGAAAACACAACATTTCAGCCATGGAGCCTTCTTCAGGTGTGAAGAAGGCTCCACATTAAGAAGGCTCCACGGCCGAAACGTTTTTGTTTTCTTTCTTCTTTTTTTCAGCATGGAATAAACCTATTGCTAGTTCCCTTGCAGCCTACGCATGCTGACACAGCTACCCACCTGTGCTTTATGTAGTTTTTTCATACAATAGGTAGTTCATTTTAAACATCAATTTGAAACAGTCATTCAAAGCACTATTTTATGATTCTTTATGAACTTTTTATGTTTGTGCTATTAATTAATAAGTGATGTAGTACAACACCTCATCTCAGAAAACTAAGAAAGAAACTCATTGTGTACCAGTAAGAACATAATTTGATAAAACATGTATTTATTTTAAATTTATTAGAAATTAGATCCATAAAATGTTGCAAACATTTTAGATATATTTCCTGATAAGATATGTTAGAGAAATTTCTAAATGAGAGACTGTAGTTGTATTAAGCAGAAACAAACTGAAAATTTGGTTTTTAATATAGTTTAGGACAGGAGGAAGTAAGAAATTTTGGTTTTATAAAATATGCATATGTCAATGGTTAAAGAACCATTTTTCACTAAAACAAGCAAATCCAGTTATATTTTCTTTTTTTAGCCTGAACCTCCATCTACAAACAAATGGCAGCTGGATAAGTGGTTGAATAAAGTAAACCCCCACAACAAGACACTAATCAACACTCAACCTGAGAGTCATGGGCTCAACAGCTCTCAGTCTGATGACAGCCACCAGACTGAGGGCCAGGGGTCAGGCAAGGGGAAACCTAGCATGTCACTTGTACAGCCTGATCCAAAGGAGAGAGTTTTGCTCAGTCCTATAAGAGATAAAGCTAAACCCAGGACAGGACAAAAAACACCAGAAGGTAAGATCACAAAGCTCAAATCTCCTGCTAATATAGAGTTAGCACCACCCAGGAGAACAACGGGAAAAAAACAGCCCAAAAAAGTCGAGAGGCCTCCCAGTGCAGAAGAATATAACTGGCTGAAACCAAACAACCCAAGCTCCACACCAAAGGAGAAGGAGCCACCGCCTCTGGAACAGTCCAAAGCTAGAAACAAAGCTGGCAATGGAAAGACTGCCCCCAGGAAAGAACCTCGATCAAATCCAGCAGGACCCGCACAGGACAAGAAGAAACACAGAGGGGCAACCAAAATTATCCCAAAATCAAAGGAGTTCATTGAGACTGAATCATCATCTTCAGAGTGCCATTCTGATCCAGAAGAGTTAGTTAAAATTCCTCCTCCTTGCCCTGGACCTAACAACATCGGTTTACTTAAATCCAAGGACTGCAACAGCAATATATTGAGTGTCAGCAGCCTAACTAGCACCAGCAGTGCGTCTATAGACCCTTCTAATGGTGACTTACTAGAGGATCACCTCTTCTCTCCCATCCCCATGGTTCAAAATGTTGCTGAGCTGTTGTCTCCACTGAGGGACTTTGAGGAGATCAAGTCTTTGTGGGTAAAAATTGAACTTAGCTTCCTATCTCGGATCCCTGGGCAGGACCCCCCAGAATCAACTCCTGTTAAGGCTGAGCCCCGGGACTCGAGTAACAAGCACAGACGGCAGTCCCCAGCTTCAGCTACTGCTGAAAAGCCCTCCAGCAAAACCAAGAGGAAACACAAGGCAAGTGCAAATCGCAGCCAGATGCCATTTCCAATTACATGACATTTTATAATCATTTTAATTTCATAACTTTTTTCTTGGGTTTACATAAAATACACAGACAACCTCTTGATACGCAACTTGCTTAGATACACATATATGTATAACATGCGTAACATGGGTATTTGAAATCGTGAAATTAAATCTGTATTATGAAAAGAAAGTAAAGTTTTAATTTAATAGTTGAGAATCTTTTTCTTCCACCTATTAATTTTACCTCTGATTGTTTTGTCTGGGATTCATACTAGTGTTATTTTATTAGGAATAGTCAAATTGATATTAATACAAACAAGTTTATGCAATGATGATTGTACTATATATGTTTATATGTTTCACCCATAGTCTGAGAATTGTGATGCAGTTAATGGCAACAAGAAGTTACGGCTGGAGAAAGAAACTTTGCTGCTTCCTCCTTGTATATCACCAATACATAACCACAAACTCACCAGCACAAAAGAGTAAGTATTTCACTTCTACCTGCCTCTTCATTATCATCGTTGTTTTGTATATTGTATAAATGTATTTGTAAGTAATATTCCTTTCACTTTTACCTTCACAGTCAGGGGTTGCTTTTTTGTGTTATGTAGACGTATTAAAATCAGTAACAGTTATAAGAGCTATCTGTTAGTCAGTGGTAAAACAGACATGCAATTATCTCAGGCTGCCATGGTCTTGCAAGGGTAATTCCTGGTTCACCCCTCTGAGCTCTTATTGTTGTGATCTAAAGAACATGAAAAACTTGCAGTGAATCAAAATGCTGCAAATGAAGAAGTCTGGCTGGAAAATACACTGAGTCACCCTCCAGGCTCTATTTTGACGCTAGCTGTTTGTATTGTCAAATTACATGAAAGTAATTTTTCATTGATGTGAACACTGATGCTAATTTTAGATTTTCAGTTAGTGAAGTAAAACCTATCATTTGTGGG